ATGGGAAAAAGCTGGCTTGCTTGCTACTTTGACTAGAGAACATAAGGCAATGTTACAACGTTAATGGACCCCCAGTGTCAAACCAAAATACTCACCAAGCATTACCTCTCCCTGAAAAGAATGTACTCCGGTGTGTTCGGGTTTAGCGTGAATCTCCCCTATACTTCTTCAAAAAAAAAAAGATGTGGCAGTTAGGATGGACCTTCAACCCTTCCGGCAACTCCAACCTGTACGCAACCTTTCCCACTCTCGCCAGCACTAACAACTAACGACATGGGTACAGCCTCAAGAGTACTAACTCGCCTGTATCATCACACTAGAAAGTGGCCAAGTGTAACCACCTACTAATGCGTAGTATAAAGGGTTTAGCTTTAATTGTCAACCCGAGTCCTAGATGTGATGACTACTCCGTGAAATTCTTGTTATCTAGCGGTTTAACTGTAGTGAGATTATAACTAGTCTAAACAAGAACAAAGCAGTAAAGGTTGTGGTTCAAGTTTGAGGGAGGTCACCCAGATATGGTTCCCCCTAGATTGCAGTTAAGTCGTGTTATAATTCACCAAGTCCAGATTTAATGACAGTTATACTGCGGAAGGTTCTTAATCGATCTGGAGTCTCGACTAAAGGTCTCCAGACCCTCTCAATCTGAATACCCGACGGGCAACTAACCTCCATCGGAGTAAACAAACTAAGGCCATAACGTGCAAAACTCCCTCTACTGGAGTAAATCCAGTACATAATAGTGAATTGACTCCTCGACTAAAGTAATCAGTTCACCACCTTCAATTAAGGGTGCTCTATCAACCTGGGCAGATATTATCTTTCTAAGTCAGAGCAAGAACTAGTAGAATTTGATCAGGGTTCTTCATACCTAGGTGAGAGAGAGAGAGTTTACTCCATAGAGAGAGAAGAGAAATCAGCTTCAGATGCATAAATCATATTGTGGAGGATGAAAATCGGTTTCTGGCTGTCAATCGGCACTTCTCCAAGCTTTGATCGAGCTCAAATGGCTTCAAAACTCGATCTAGGTTACTTTGGAGGTTTTGTTCATCGCTTTCTCTCTATAGGTTTTTTTTTCTCCAAAATGTCCCTCCTCAACAAAGAACCTAGAATTGCCTTCAAACAGCCCTCATGCCCGAAACCCGGTCCAATTACCCGGTCGGTTTTAAGAGAACCGACCGGGTAATGTCAAAACAGTGCAGTTTGGCTGGGTCAAAACCCGGTCTCCCTCTAAGCCATTGCCCTCGCCGGGTTCTTATGACCAGACCGGGGTTCTTGGCCCTTGCAATCCTCCTTCTATTTCCTTGGTGTTTTTGACAGGAAACTCGCCTCCAAGCCTTCATTTTCGCTCCAGGTCCTGAAATATGACATAAAAGCACAACCTAGCGTGAAATCGGCTTAAAACACGAGAATCAACTCTCAAGCGGTTCAAGATTAGTGGGAAATACCATGTACAAATAACGGTTTATCAAGTACCAGTCACCCTCTTGGAATTGCACATCTCTCATGTCGCTGCTAGCCAAATGTTTAATGCGATTGCTGGTTGTGGCCAACGTCGCCTTCAACTGCTCAAGAGCTTCATCTCTTGCCACAAGCCATTGATCCAGGACGTCACCTAGGTTGCCGCCCACTTTTTATTTCACTATCGTTGGCGACTTGCGCCCATAAAGCGCCTAAAAGGGTGTCGTACCAATGGTGCGATGGTACGTCGTGTTGTACCACAACCCATCCCAAGGTAGCATAGCTAGCCACTTTCGCGGCTATTGGTGAGCAAAGTGCAGGAGATATTGTTCGATACACTTGTTCACAATCTTGGTTTGGTCGTCTAACTATGGATGGTACGCCAAACTCATGCTTATCTTCATCTTGGCCATGGAAAATAGCTCTTTCCACAAGTTACCCAAAATGACTATATCCCCATCACTCACTACGGTGGACAGGATCCCATGGTCCTTCACGATTCCTTGCACGAACAGTTCTGGCACCGTTTTCGTCGTATAGTAATGCAACAGTGCCATAGAGTGAGCATATTTTGTCAACCTATCCACCACCACCAGCAATGCTATTTTCCCCCAGATGGCAGTAACCCAATGATGAAATCCATGCTCACTTCTTCCCAAACTCGGTCTGGCACAGATAAGGGTTGCAGCAACCCCGCAGGTCCAAGGGCGGATACCTTTACTCTCTGGCAGGTATCGCACAAGGCGATGTAGTCGCACAGTGCCTCGATCATGTGGGGCCAATAGAAGTGACCCTACTTTCCACGCCAGAATGGCCTCCACCGACGAATCATGAAATTCCTGCCTAATTGCAATGATCAAAGAGGAGTGCACGGGAAGGACCACCCGACCTTTGAAAAATACTAACCCCTCTTTGTAGCTGTACTCCCCTAGTCTTGGTGATAGTGCTATCTCTCGACAATCCTTCAGGTACGAATTCTGCAAGATGGCATCATGGACTTAATCCCATAAATTGATCACTGTCTGAGACATCATGGTCAACACCGCTCCTCCTAGGCTTCGAGATAACCCGTCCGCTGATCCCGATTTGTAGTTGATTTTATAGTCATAACCAAGCATCTTAGAAATCCACTTGTGCTAATCGGGAGTGTATATTCTTTGCTCTAGGAGATGCTTCAATACCATTGCCATTACTAGCTAGCAGCAGTTGAGGGAGAAACACGATTCGTCCCATGCCTCTTGAGAAAAGGTGGGCTGGGTCATCAAGGGAGACTTGGGCCATAACTGGACAATCTTGTGGATTATTTTGCATGGACAAAACATGAAAGAAGAAGGAAGTGGCTCATTAAATTAGGAGGTAAGCTTTCAAGAGAGCCTAACCCAATTTCACTTGGAAAAGAGAGGAGCACAAAAGATCTTGTCTTCATCAACATGCATGTAGCAAATTTATGGAGCAGTCCATTGAAGATTTCAGGGTGGGTAATGATGATGGACGCAAGGAAGAACAGTTCTCTAATTCTTAGTTTATGAATTTCGAAAAGGAAGAGAAAGAACTGTTTTCCTGGGGAGAAGGTGACATGTGCCACCTGGTTAGCGAAGAGTCGATGAAAGTTGGAATTACTGGAGAAAGGTTCACTCATGGGATTGAGCTCAATTGAAAACAAAGAAAGTGGAAAGTCAAAAAACAGAAGTCGACTGCAACCTTAAGGACAAGGTTGCTTTCAAGGGATGGATTGTTAGAAGTATTTGGACAGTATTAGATTATTTATTAGATTTATTCCGGTATTTCCTATTAATATTTACTTCGTGTTTCACTATAAAAAACAATATTACAAAAAGTATCTTCCAAACTAGGGGTGGGCATGCGGTTCGGTAAACCCGAACCGAACCGAACAAAAACCGACCGAAACAGAAATTGAGGCTATTCGGCTCGGAAATCGGAGGTGTAAATGCCATGTTTCGGGATAGAGGTTTGTGTGAACGGAACCGAAATTCTGAAATTCCGACCAAAAAATCGAAATGTAGCCCAACAGCCTAAGACCCAACCCAAGTGGCCAACTCTCTAGTCCAGCCCAACCCTTTTGGAGAAACCCCTAAGGCCTGAGCCCAATAGCCCACTCCTTGTCTAGCATAAGTGACGACCCAAGTCCCAAACCCCACCATTAATTAACCCTATTTAATTGTGTGATTGAGAGAGGAAGTCGTCATTGCCAGTGGCCACTGGTAGGGATGGCAATGGGTCGGGTCGGGGACGGATAGTGCATATCCGTTACCCTACCCAAAGTAGTTCGGGTTTTACCCATACCCATACCCACATGTGAAACGGGTAGAAAATTAAAACCATGTCCATACCCGTTCGGGTTTCGGGTATCCACGGTTATCCATGGATAATAATTTCTCTTCATAACTCCAACTAATATGTTAACATTCACACGTATTCTCACATTACGTAAGAGGAAAAATACGACAATAGTTCACTAGAATGAAGAAAATTAACTAAAACAACACAATTTCATGAAAATATTATATTTATATGCTAAATATAATATATGTTAGAGAAAAATAATAATTATTTCTAGAGAAAATACACATGCATGCGTATAATCGGGCGGGTACGGGTTGGATAGTTAGAAACCCATGCCCACCCATCACCCGCAATATTCGGGTTCGGATTTTACCCGTACCCACTAAATGTCCTTCGGGTTCGGGTTTTACCCTACCCGATTAGGCTTGATACGGGTGGATATCCACGGTTACGGATATTTTTGCCATCCCTAGCCACCGGCCGCCACCAACACCCCAGCCAGCCACTCGACCACTCTGTCCCTCACTCTCTGCTCTCTCTGTCTCTCCCATTGCCAATCGCCGCCTCCTCCCTCCGTCTCTCCCAGACTCCCACTGCCACTCGCCGCCTCCAACCCTTTGTCTCTCCCGGACTGCCACCGCCACTGGCCTCTCACATCATCGTCGCCACAGCAAATCACGGCTCCTAGAATCCATCCTCCGACTCGGCCCTGTTTCCTTTCTCACCATCGCCGCAACAGCCCTTCTGCCCAGTCGAAGCAGCACCAAAGTGCAAAAGTAAATATCACAACAGGGGATTTTCGGTTGTAGGCAGAAAACCGAACCGTGTTATAATTCGGTTCGAACTCGATTTGTCATATGACTGTAATTGGAACCTCAGTAGTTGTCAATTCAGTTCGGTTTGAACCGAACCGACCGAATGCCCACCCCTATTCCAAACCCTCATTTTCTCAATCTCATCTCTCTTTCCCCAAAATCTCGGCCCATTCTTCCGTATTTTGCTGAATTATGTTCTTCAATACCTAATCTCCAATTCTCCTATCTAAATCACTAATTCTTACCCCCAAGTGCCCAAGATCAGACACCCTAAAATCCCTACTTGGTACGAGTAATCGCAAGTGCTACGAGTAATCTCTAATTCTCCTGTCTAAATCCAAGATCAGACACCCTAGAAAAACTGAAAAAGTTTCTTACAGAAAAACATAACGTGCTGCCGGGTTGGGTCGCCTACTCAGTCAAATCTACATCTACTATTCTTGACCTCCTCTCCTATGCAATAATGTAATATGAACTGTAACCATTTCTTGAGATGATTCCATCGTAAAAAAAAAGCACAGCAAGTACTGGGATAGCAACAAAAGTACGTGATTCCATAAAAAATTATTCGTACTTTCGAAATTGACCCCTAGACATGCATTCTAATTTCTCATCATCATAATTGTTCACTCCCTATGCCCTTGAATACCACGATCTACCAAATTAGCCGCCACCAGATCCATACTTCTTGCCGAAGACGATCAGCTGCAGCTTATCATAACCAGCCAGCACACCTGCACCTGCCACTGCTCGAAGGATGTTCGCACCAGCACCCTTGAAGAGTGATTTCGTGCCTTCTTTCTGGACAATCTGCTTGAACGCATCAAGCGAGCTGCTGTACTTCACAGCTTCACCTGATGTCATCATCATTCTTCTACGCACGGTATCAATTGGATAAGATGCCAGTCCGGCTCCGATCGTAATACCCCATCCGAGCAAGAAACTTGCCAAGAAACTATCCTGGAGTGCCCAAAAGGAAAATACAATTCCAAGTACCCATATCATTATATTAGGCCCATTGCTATCCTTCAGAGCATAAATGATTAAGCCAAGGAAATGACACGTGATTAAATGGATAGAAATGGTCTAACCTGTAAATCACCAGTGAGAACCACAGGCTTAAGAGAGTCGTACATGCCAAAGTAGAGTCCACGGTACACAATGATTCCAACACAAGAGATGTTGAAACCACGGTACAATCCAGCAACTCCATCAGTTTTAATGGTTTTCCTGTAAACGTCAACCAAACCATTGAACTGCCTCTCGCCACCCCCTTTAGCTGCCTTTGCATCATTGGCCAAGCGTGTTCGGGCATAATCCAAGGAGTAAACAAACAGAAGAGATGAGGCACCAGCTGCTCCACCAGACATCAAGTTCCCAGCGAACCATTTCCAGTAACCATCCTTGTCCTTCTTGAAGTTAAACAACCTCTTGAAGTAATCTTTGAATGCAAAGTTCAGAGCCTAATCATTCATACACAAGAATTTCAGTCCAAGAAAGTAGATCAAAAGGCAAGGGAAATAGGTCAGCACCATCACCATACAAGAGAAACACCATTTCCAGATAGTTTTTCCATAGTACTAAAAAGTTGCACTGAATAAGCAAAGTACCTGAGTAGGGAAGTATCTGATAACATTAGCAGTGTTGCCTCTCCAAAGGGCAATCATACCCTCGTCCTTCATGGTTCTTGCAAAACAGTCACCAATTCCCTTATAAGGTTCAGAAAGACGGCCAGATTTAATCATCTCATCCTGATTCTGAATCAGGAGCTTAACACGCTCAATAGGAGCGGCTGCAGTCTTGGAAACGGCAGCAGAGACGCCACCCATGAGGAAATCAATCATGAAGGCACCAAAGCCTTTCTCAGAGGGTGCTTGAACAAAGATGGGGGAATGGTTGGGGAGAACTGCCAAGCCAGCTCCCTGCATAGTGTAATGCAAGGGAGACTGGAAACCAACGTCAAAGCAAGCAGTCCCATTCCTGCTTTGTAAGCCTGGAGACAGCTTAGAGACAAGATGGGATTGCCCATACATCTTCTGAAAAACTGATGGATGCGTTGATCCATCCACCATGTTTGCAACTTAAGATGGTGAAACCTGAACAGTACAAACACAATAGAGCATGAGAACAGAACAATCTGTGAATCATAGAAAGCAAAGCCAATTTAACAAGGACTGAACAACCACAATCAGGAATCCTTCTTTCCTCCTAAAACCCTAAAGAAAACATAGATGGTGATTCAATTAACCTTACTACAAGTAAGGACAATTCAGCTTCCAAGTTCCATAATCATCGACAACAATTTCACTTATCTAACATGTCAATCCTTTTCTCTGCGTCTAACCAGAAGAATCCGCGACAAAGAAGCACAATACAGAAAGCTAGCATGATTAGATCTAAACTGCCTTGGAAATTTTAAGTCCTACCAATTGACGTATAATCACGCCACCATTCAAACAGCAAGACCGAATTCCGCCAATGAAAGCAAGACGCGTCGCTATGGCGGAGATAAAAGAGCTGGACGACTAGAAGTTTCCTACCCCAAGCTCCGGTCACTTTTCTCAGTAAACAAATAAAACATCAAGGAAATGGAGCGGCACAAACAACCGATCCGGCGGGCGGAGCAACACAGTCAACCGAAGTACACAATCCATTGAACGAGCAACGAAAAGAGAAATGTATCGGAGTAAAAACCTGCAAAAGGTCGCTCGGAGAAAGCTAGGTAGCTCGCCACCTTCCGTATTGCCCGGAGAAAGCACGTAGACCGACCAGAAGTCTTGATTTTATAGTTCAGAGGTGCACTGATAGGGTTTTTGGCAAAATGACGACGCTATCCTCGCCTGCCATGGCTTCCCTGTTAATTACTTAATAATAGTCAATACTACGATGCCGTTATTAAAAGTGCGCCGACATTTTTCATTAGTTCACGTGCCATCTATTTTGTTTAATAATTCCAACCAAACCCTCATTAGCCCATTAAAAATGGCTTGTCCCAAAGTAACGGACAAAGGATTCTTCGTCCAACGACATTATTTTTTTTATTAATTAAATTCAAATTCGTAAAATGACTGAAAATTACACTTTCTTGATCTCCCTTGTCGGCGGCTTCTACCAGGTCACTCCCAAAGACTTATTCGTTGTCGATCCCATCTCCAGGAGAGCAAGTGATAGTGAGGAATCAACGAGGAAGGAGCTTGAACATGTGAGAATCTTGAATTGTGATTTACATTGAGTAGGAAAAGGGAATTGAATACCCACTAAAACAACCCACATAGCCTACAAAGAAGAAATAGCTTAACCACTAAGGACTCCACTAATCTCCACTACTAACAATAATTAAACTAAATTATTATTATCCTTAACACGCCCCCGCAAGACGATGGCGGGAACGACACCGATCTTGGAGCGAAGAAGCCAAAAACGAGGAATGGGCATCGGTTTGGTGAGAGAGTCTGCCAATTGATGAGCAGTGGGAAATGTGACAAACATGGAGAGCAGCAACCTGAACTAGATCACGAACAAAGATATAGTCAAGTGCCAGATGTTTCATACGAGAGCGATGTATGGGATTGCCAGCAAAGTTGACGGCGCCAAGATTGTCACAGTAAAGCACAGGTGAAGACATGAGGGGCTGATGAAGCTCACGAAGAAGATTATGAACCCAAAGAAACTCGGAAGTAGCATGCGCAAGAGCGCGATACTCGACCTCCGTACTGGACCGGGCAATGGATCGTTGCTTCTTAGACTTCCACAAAATAAGATTGTTGTCGTAGTAGATGAGAAAAGCCATGGTGGAAGTGCGATCGTCAGGATCCCCAGCCCAGCCCAGTCAGAGTCAGCGAAGGCAATGAGGTCATACGATGATGTCGGAGCAAGCTGAAGACCAAAAGAGGGAGTGCCTTTGAGATATCGAAGGATCCGCTTAACATGTTGCCAATGAAGAGCAGTCGGCGCATGCATAAACTGTGACAATTTGTTGAAGGCAAAAGCAATGTCTGGGCCAGTTACCACGAACGAGGAGCTTGGTGAGGCCCATAAATCGCCTTTGAGAGCCGACAAACATGATCAGGATGAGTAGCATCGCGAAAACCAGGAGGCTGCGACATAAATACCGTCTCCGTTAAAGAGCCTTGGAGAAAGGCATTATTGACATCAGACTGGAAGATATGCCACTATTGAGAGAGAGCAATGGTGAAGATAGTGCGGATGGTGACCAGCTTCAATACCGGGCTATAGGTCTCATGGAAGTCAACACCTGGGCGTTAAGCAAAGCCCTGGCAACCAACGGGGCTTTGAAACGATCCACCGAACCATCCAGGTTGCGTTTAATCCGAAAAACCCAGCGGGAGCCAACAACATTATGGCCAGGGGATCGGGGAACTAAGGTCCAGGTGTTGTTGGAGAGTAATGCCTGAAATTCAGCTGTCATAGCCCGTCGCCAACACGGGTCAGCAAGAGCTTGATGAAGATGATGCAGCTCAATATCAATTGTTTCCACTTGGAAAAGAAATAGTTTCTTGGGGCAAAATATGCCATGTTGAGTACGGGTCACAGGGTGGGTAGAAGACGTTACCGGTGGCGGTGGAATTTGTCATTGTGGAGAGGAAGCACCCACTGGAGACACGTGCTGAGGAGAAGAAGGAAGTCGTCTATGAGCACCCGTCGAAGAGGAAGTGATCGCTGAAGTGTCCGCAGGTTGCGGCGGCAAGGGGACCTGGGGAAGAGAAATTATAGTAATGGGTGGATTAGTGGCAACGATCCAAGAAGGAGGATCAAAGAATGGACTGGGTGTAGAAGGGATGCCCGGAAAAATTGATTCCTCAAAATGAACATGGCGTGAGGTGAAAAGGCGCTGATGGGAGGGATCATAACAATAATATGCACTCTGGGACAAGGAGTAGCCCAGGAACACACAACGACGGGAGCGAGGCGATAATTTGTGAGGCGAGTAAGGGCGTAACCAGAGATAACAAGCACAACAAAATATACGAAGCTTGGTGTAGTTAGGCGACTCATTGAAGAGGGAAAAATAGGGAATGGCACCATGAAGAGATGGGGACGGGAGTCGATTAATAAGGTATGTGGCAGTTTGAAAAGCGTGAGACCAAAACCGAAGGGGTATGGAAGCAGTATGGAGAAGGATAAGACCTGTTTCAACAATGTGACGATGCTTCCTCTCAGCTAGGCCATTGTGTTGTGGAGTGTGGGGAGGCTTTAAAAGGTGGGTGATGCCATTGGTTTGGAAGAAGGAACACAGTTTCTGAAATTCACCACCACCATTACTATAAACACGACGAATTTGGGTATGAAAGTAGTTTTCAATCATCGCCTTATACGTAGTGAACACACGAGGCACATAAGATTTTCGAGAAAGAGGATAAAGCCATGTATAACGAGTATAATGATCCACAATGACCAAGTAATAGGAATAATTATCATGGGAAATAATAGGAGAAGGCCCCCATACATCCATATATAACAAGTCAAAAGGACGTAAACTCGGTAAACTAGAGACAGAAAATGGCAGTTTGTGAGATTTATGCAAAGAGCAAGAGTCACAAGACGAAGGGGAGACAACGAAGTAACATGCAAAGAATTATTACGAAGAACACGAGAAAGAAGCTTGAAATGAGGGTGCCCCAATCGTTGGTGCCAGACAACAGACGAAGAGCGGGAAGCAGACAAAGCAAGCCGAACTGGAGCAGCCGAGGATGGTAACTCATAGACATCTCCCTTATTCTGGCCTCGAAACAGGTGCGCCCCGTGGCTAGATCCTTCACAACAAAAAAATCAGAGAAAAATTCCACAGACACGGGATTAGTCTTACACAATTGAGCAACGGAGAGAAGACGACGTTTGAAAGCCGGAACACATAGCACATCATGGAGTTGAAAACGAGCCAAGGAGGAAGACAAATGAGATATGCCAATATGAGTAATTTGCAGACCTGACCCTTCATCGATAAGCACCTCATCAGGACCATTATAGTTCGTGTAAAGGGATAAGTTGCCGAGATCAAGCGACATATGGTTGGTAGCAGCTGAATCAAGCAGCCAACCATAAGAGTTCGGTGGAGCAGCAGCACTGTGATGGGCCTAAGGGCGCCCACGAATTCGATAGCATTCTTTGGCCGAGTAACCTGAACGATCACAGAACTGGCAGATTTGTGGACGACCCAAAAGTGAAGGAGCGGAGGAAGTACCAGAGTAACCCATCGAGGAGGAGGGAGAATGACCACGATTGGAGCGAGGACTACGGCCTCGGCAAGCAGGTGAATATCCATGAGACCCACCAGAGGGGCGATAAAAGGCTCCCGGCAAACCTTGACCACCACGATTGGAGAAGAAGGCTGTGGTAGGAGCCTGGGGCTGATGCAAACGAACCGCCGCGAGATCAACCTCGAAATCAACCAGACGATCATGAAGATCCTCAAAACGAATGGTGGTGTCCCGCGCACGAACAGCAGCCGCAAGTTGGCCATATTCTTCAGGTAGACCATGGAGCACATAGAGAATTAGGTCTTCATCCTTAACAGGGTCATTGATAAGAGCCAATTCAGCGGCAGTGGTGCGCATAGCCTGCAAATAAACCTCAACAGGGCGATTGCCAAGCGTCTCTCGGTCAAGTTTTTCTTTGAGATGGATAATACATTGACGGGACTGACTAGCAAACATGCGTTCGAGAACCATCCATGCTTCATGAGAGAAGGGAGACGATGATACATAAGGAGCAACAGTCGGAGACATAGAGGCAAGGATAGCATGGAGTAGAAGTTGATCTTGCCTATACCATTGAGTTTTCTATTCAGCAGAAGTAGTAGCAGCAGGGGCGGGATGGGAGCCGTCGAGAAACTTTAGAAGATCGAGGCCACGAAGAAGAGTGAGAAGTTGCGCCCTCCAGGTTGGAAAGTTATCACTGTTAAGCTTGGTGGGTAGCTGCGAGGCTGGATTGAGTGACAATGGTGTTGGTATCATTGAGATTAATCACTGTTTCTCCGAACATTGCGTCGCCGTGAAAAAGAAGATGCCGAGGAGTGGATGTTGCGGCAAAGAAAGAAGAAGAGAGCAATAGAAAGAGAAAAGGTATTTTTGATTTGTGAAGAGTATCCTCGTAGGAAAAGCAACAAACCAAACCAACGAGTCTGAATTTTTGTATGAAAAAGAAGGAGATGAGATTTTAGTGGTTAAGGAGATCGGAGCCTTGCTCTGATACCATGTGAGAATCTTGAATTGTGATTTACATTGAGTAGGAAAATGGAATTAAATACCCACTAAAACAACCCACGTAGCCTACAAAGAAGGAATAGCTTAACCACTAAGGACTCCACTAATCTCCACTACTAACAATAATTAAATTAAATTAAATTATTCTTATCCTTAATAGAACAAGATTG